AGAGAGGGAGACACAGAATCTGAAGCAGGCTCCAGGCTCTGAGCTGTCAGCACAGAGCCTGATGCAGGGCTCGAATCCACAGACCATGAGATCATGACCTGAGCTGAAGTCGGCTGCTTAACCTACTGAACCACGCAGGCGCCCCACCCTTCCCTCATTCTTACCCAGATTTTTTTGTTGTACAATCTTATTTACCCCAACTAACACAAATAATAATAGCTGAGATTTATTGAGTGTTTACCAAGTTCAGGTGTCAAGCACAATGCTAAATATTTCACATTAATCATATTTAAATATTATATAAGTAAAAAATACAACAAAATCTGAGCAGTATGTAATATTATTACTCTTTTTCACAGATAAGGAGCCTGAGAACCTGGGTGGGAAGCAGAGTAAAGACTTAGTGGATATTTGGCTTTCCCACTGGACTGTGTACGGAGTGAGGTGAGGCCATATAAAATATGTTTAATACCTACTTGTTGATCGAAATAATAATGGATATTTGAATGAATAATGAACTAGGATATATTTTAATATGGGAACTGAGTATCCCTTTAATTCTCCACTCTAGTCATCTATGAGATTATTTACAAAATTCTGGATAGTTGCTTATAAATGACAAAATGGTATCTCCAGTGTTAGAGATGTTTTAGAGTATCTTCCACTCTTCATTTTGATGATTATCTGCTCCATTTCCACATGAGGCAGCTATTCAGTTTAATTCTGCTCACAGTGAAGGGTTGTTTTTTTGTCCCAGTCCTTCTAGGGCTTATCAAATAGAGGGGGGTCACACCTGTGTTAGCACGCTGTGAGCATGCTGTGTTAGGTAAGCCCACATAGCTGCTATAACGAATAAACCTTAAATTTCCAAGTTTAGTACAACATATAGTTATTTTTTATTTGCGTCACAACCTAATAGGGGTGTTCCCACTTGGCCATACAGCTTTCCACCTGGTTATCTAGGAGCCCAGGTTCCTTCCATCCCTGAAGGCCTTAGAGTTCCTCCTCTCACTCCAACAGCATCAGGGGAGAGTACGCATGGAGAAGGCACATGTACTTCCTAAAAATCCTGGCTCCCAAATGAAGCATGTCATTTACACTCACACTCCATTGTGAGAAAGTCGTCATGTGGACATGCCCAGTTCTAAGGAAGGCAAGGAAATGCTGTCTAGTTAGATGCCCAAGAAGAAAAGAGAGAAAACCTATTTGAGTGAGTCACCAACCATTTTTGCCCTAGCTCCCAACCCTATAAAACAGAGCAGAGACAGGCTTTAAGATTAGTACAAAGTACCCTGGCAGATGGGAAGATGGAGCTTCATTTGAATGGTGGATATCTTAAAGATCAGTGGAGGAGGGGATTTTGAGTCTTGAAGGAAAGGTAAGTCCTTGATAGAAAGAGATGCTAACAGGTATAACTGAGACCATGCCCAAAATGATGTCAGAAGCCAGGATGGAGTAAGTGTATGAGAAAAATGTATGCCTGGGCCTTGGTCTATGTGTATATATCTCAGAATGATGTAGAAATTATTTTAATGATATCTTTTTCCTGGTTTTCCTGAACTCCTTCTATAAGTAATTAAAGAACAAACAGAGTTACCCCCTCTACCGTATCTTATCCCTAATGTGAAGATATGAACTAATTAGAGGGTGTGCTGTGTAGGAACTTTAATGCCATCGAAAACTTCTATTTTTAAGACTGTGCTAATTATACAGGATGAGGCTGAACAAAAGGAAGATTTACAATTAGCAGAGCACAGTTTATTACAACCATCTCTGTTTAGAGGCTCTTCTGAAGCTATATATGTAATAAATGAAGACTGATCTAGTGTTTACCATTTAGAGGACAACTCTGGAGATCATAGAAATGCAAGGCTGGGCTACTTTGGATATGATAGTGGTGATGGTATAGGAAGACTTTTACATTTTAGTCTAAGTGGTAGAGAGGAAAGACAAGGGTTTTTAGAGGGGGAAGACCTCTGTTCCTTCCTTGGTCTGCCACTCATTGGCTGGGTGATCCTAACCTTTCTGGGCTATTTCCTCCACTGTATGGGGATAATACTGCATATGAAAGCACTTAACACTGAGCCTGGACTACATTAAGGACCCAGGTTTTTTTTTTTTTAGATCCATTTCCCTTCCTTTCTTCTACTTTTCTTTTTCTTAAGCAGGATTTCATTCACCTCAATAAAAAATCCTTAAGACTTTAAGAACTGTACAAGAATGACTATAATATCAGCTGGATGTATTTCCTCTAAATCTACCAAACTTCAATAAAGGCAGTTATAATATCTGTGGCTCTATCTGAGCAGTGTCAAGGATAAAGAAATACCTTAGTTGTCAAATCCCAGGAGGGCTGACTCAGCTCTTCTTTTCTTCCAAAAAAGATAAACTGCATCTCATGCAATCTGCTTTTTGCTAGGGGGTTTTTGTTTTGTTTTCAAACAAGATCTTCAGTGCAAAAGACAATCTCTCATACATATACATAAAAGGAGCCATGATGAGTCCCATGAAAGTTTGGGCTTTTCCCTAGATTCTGTTGCCAGAATATTAGAAATGGATATGAAAAGCTGAGAGCTTAAAAATTGCACAGTATTACATATTATTCAATTGTGAAATGCTGTGGGCTTCCCATCCCAAGCCTCAGCTCAGCTATGAATGGCCTGTATACTTAAGTGCATCTTCCTATTGACTGAATGGATAGAGGCCCTCACTCCTGAGAAGGCATTAGGATTGCATTATCATATCAATAGCCCACATGCAAAGTTCTTGATAAAAATGATCATAATCCAGAGGCAAGAGATAAAATATGAGAGTTTGATTTGTGTAAACAAATCAAAAGCATTTAGCGTCAGCTACTTAATCTATCTCTAAGCATTGCCAGGAATATAAATATCAGAACAGCGTCAGAGTCAGAATAGGCAAGAGTTGAGAGAGTAGAAGGAACTCTAAAGATTATTTGCTACTTTTTTCTGATTTACTATAATCCACCCATATTGACCGCCTTTCAATTCTGTGAACCAGCCAAGCTCAGAGCCTCTTGTCTTAAAGCCTCTACAAATTGTCTTTCTGCCTCTTGTAATAGTCTGGATTGTCTCTGTTAAGCTACATTAACAAAAAGCCTCCATATCTCAGTGGCTTAAGACAATAAAGGTTTGTTTGCTCATGCTGTAGGCTGTGCATCTCCAGTGTGGGTTGGCTGGGGGACTCTGCTCTTAGGTGTCACACAAGTTCCAGGTGAAGGGACCAACCCCATCTTGGACCATATGCCCTGTCAGAATGCCATAGGGAAAGGGAGCTAGAGCAGCATCAATTAGATGCTCCAGCACGGAAGAGACACATATCGTTTTAATGCATAACTGATTGGCCAGATCAAATCCCATGGCCCCACGGAATCTTGGGGAGAGCAAAGCGATGCAATCCTATCACAAACCTGCAAAGGGGAGGGACAGGGAACCGCTCTCCTGCCTCACACCTGCCCTGACTACCTGTATGAAGCAAGGTCGAGCTCTTCACTGTCTTAGCACCCCTTTCATTTTTCTAGAGTGCTCATCACGATTTGTAATTGCATTGTTTACTTATTTCCTGCTTTCATTTTAATCTTTTTTTTTCCCCCACTGAATTATAAGATCCCTTATAAGATCCCTTATAGGAAGAACTACAAGAGCAGGCTAATCCTATGAAACAGTTCCCCCAAACGGTCAATCTGCCTAATATATTTAAGTCCTGAATATATTTGTCTTCAGTTTGGAGAATCCTTATGGTGTCCCAGTCATGTCTCTCAGTCTATGTCCTTTTTGGCTGTGTGCTGATGCCTCTCCATTCCTCCTTATTAGAGGATCCTCTCCCCTAAATACCAGTAGGGCTAAGGCAAAGACAAACTGGGCATTCCTTCAAATGTTGGTTTGGAGCAAACTGGAAAACTATCAATTAAAACCTCACAGAAATCTCCAAAGATGGGAAAAACCAAATTACGCAGTGCAAATTGCTGTAAACTTTGTAAATAATGAAAAGAAAGGAATTTGGCAAACCAGCATTTTGTTGAATTTGCCTTAGGCAAACAGATTTGCAGGGAACTAGCTCAAGGCTCCCCACCCCTACAGTGGTACCTCACTGTCAAACTGAGCCTGGTGTTTAGAAATCTGAAATAACATCACTTTTTGGCCTTATGGCTAAGATCAAGTGTAGCAGTCTGAAATAACAGCCCATTTCATGGGCAAGGAAACTGTAGTTTGGAGAGATGAAGTTATTGGCTCAAATCACAGAGGCGATGGTGGAAGAGATAAAAGTATGATTCAAGTCTCCTGGTGCCAGTGGGGGCTTCTTTTCCTGAGTCATACTCCAGGAAGGCTGCAATCATTTCAATAAACTTAGCATGCTATTTAGGGCAAAAAGTTAGTGTATAAAGGAATATTCTGAGTATTTGTTGTGCGTTTTACCATTTTAAATAAAAATATTTTAACAATTATGTGTTATTATAGATACTTTTTATAACTATTCTATCATTTTCTATAGAAAAAGACTATTATTTTCAAGTGAAATAAGAAATAATTGAAGCACAATTGCCTGTGGGACAAGGTTATTTCAGCAAAGAAGTTTCAAGAATCAATTAGCTATCGCCTTAGAGAGATGGATTTTTAAATAGGCATTGTCTCAGGTCACCTGAGGGATATATTTAGCTCCCGGATGTTTCATCCTAAAAGAGGCCACCACTAAAATCAGTCAAAGGTTTCGTAGGCGCTTGTAAATATGAATTTTTTAAAAAGGCCACTCTCTGTTTAGCTTTCATTTTTTTTCTCCCCTATCATTCAGGAACACGGGTTATTTTATGGCTTATGGCAAGGGTATTTTATATGTTATAGCAGGTAAACAGTAATGAGAGGAAAAAAGGAAATGTCTTGCTTTCCTCATTAGTCCTTAGATGTTGATTTCTGATTTTATAGAATTGCTGTTAATTTCCCCAGTGACGGGCTGCATAACCAAACAGTGCCTTCTTCTCTTACCTGTTGGGCCAAAGCTTGCCGTGTACTTTTTCTCTTACTATAGGTGCAGGGCACAAAGCATGGTCTCAGCTTGTCTGATGAGGACAGTGGCTTGTGCCAGGAGAAGCTGCTGCTTATTAGCAAGCTGCAGGATCCTATGCAGATAACAAAAAGAGAGAAAATGTTAGGGACAGTGGAAATTAATTCACCTCTGAGAAGTGGAAAAAAAAAAAAGACTTGTATTTAGGTTACAAGTACAATAGACAAGATGGCATGAAAGCACTGAATACAGGTTGATCAAATGAAAAAAAAGAATGGATAAATGAACAAATGAAGGTCGGTACTGGTCCTAGGTTTGCAAACCCATATGCCTACAAGACCAGGTAAGCAGCATGAATGAGGGGCAGACAGGTGTGAGACAACAGGGAATGGTGGGCTGTGGACAGCACATGTCCCATCTTAAAGGGGGAGCCAGCACTCACATCTAGCCGATGGTTTTCACTGATGGCATAAGGAAAAACAGGCCCAAAAATACCACAGCTTCAGATTTTCAAAGGAAGACAGAAATAAGGGTTTTCATGTGAAATCTCTTGTTTTATATTTCATAAGTATAAATTAAACAAAACTTTGTGCAGGTCAAACGAGGTTAAAGCCAAAGCCTACCGGAGGGTCAGGGTTCGCTCATGGGTGGCCAGCTTTTACCTAAGATCCAATGCAACATCTTCAGTTTCCAAATGGAGAGAAAGTGAATGGTTCAGGGGGCAGAAGCCTCTTGGGCAAGGACTCAGCTAGTGAGTGGCAGAACTGGGGCTTCTTATCACGAGTATCTTCCCTTTTACCTACAACCTTTCACTTCCACTTGGCCACTCTGAGGTTGGCTGAATCTGATCAGATCTGTTTAAATGAAACATTGGAGGCTGCCTTCAGTTGATCTGAGCCTTAGGTCTCAAGATGCATTTATATAAAAGTTCATAATAAGAGGCATAATTTTCTCTCCATTTATATTATGGAATGAGTTCTGGGTAAAGCTGGATGACTAAAATACGATGGTCCCTCATAGGAAATAAAACTCTGATTGCAGGTATTTGTTTGGGATGGTGTTTAAGCAGTGTGGCCAGATAGGAAGAATGGCAGTGCTGGAGTTATGGGCAGAGGCCTGAGGGGGCCGCACTGAATCCACTTGCCGGTTCCAGTTTCTGCTAACAGGTTGCTCTGTTTATACGAGAGGCAGTGCTACGTGATGGCTAAGTGCATGGGATGGGTTGAAATACTGACTCAGCTGCTCACTGGGACTTAAGTTCTCTTAAATAGTGATAATGGTACCTGGATCATAGATTATACTGAGGTTTAAATGAATCGATATGCAGAAAATGCCTAGAATGGTATTAGCACTTAGTACTAGTATTTGTAATAGTATTAGTATGTGCTAGTGCTAGTATTTGTAAATGCACACGTGGTAGGGTCCTCTCCCTAAGGAGAGAAAAAGGAAAACAAACAAAACAAAACAAAACAAAAAAACCCTCAAGGCAACCTGGCTATATGCTATTACATGACAACATCCATCATGACCTTGTAACATGAGACCACTTAACCAGACTACATGTTTGTGTGTTACCATATATGGGAGACCAAGAAATAGACAATGTATTGAAAAAACTATGCCACGTGGGGTTCGGGGCTCAGTTCTTCGGGTATAAACCCAATTGAGCAGTGCTGGCATGAATAAAGTCGCTTCTTGGAAAGACAAGCCTTGGTGTCACGACTCTCTGTGTGAAAATCCTGCTACAGTGCCAACGTTTATTGAATGCCTAATATACCCTAACTTACTTACATTTATTATTTGTAAGCATCACCACATTCCTCTTGATTTTATATTATTATCTTTACTTTAATAATGAGATAACCATGACCCTGAGAGATGGTCTCTGGTCTAATATCACCCTGGCAGGTAGTAGAACCAGGTTTGAAACTAGGTCTACACAGCTTGGATATTTTGTATAACCCATGTCTCCAGTGTTCAACTGAAGACTCTATTTAGATCTTTAAAGGGAGGTAAAGCCAACTTTGGTCAAACGCCAAATAATTATCAAGTCAAACACCAAAGCAAAGGAGTCCTAAAGCAAACAATTGAAAGCACTGCGATGCTTGATAATCTTCTGCCTTATATAAAAATGTACTGTTCTAGAATGCGAGTGCACCGCATGACTGAGAATAAGACAGGAGAGTATATGGCCAGTTTTTAGTGTGTGCAAAGCCTCATGCTTATCTTTTAAAATGCTATGGTTCTTAATAGATTAATAATAATAAATCAGGGGGTGCCTGGCTGGCTCTGTCAGTAGAGCATGTGACTCTTGATCTTGGGATCATGAGTTTAAGCCCTACATTGTGGGTAGAGATTAAATAAAGAAAATAAAAATAAATAAAATCTAAAAAACCTGTGATAAATCAAATTCCATGGAGGTAGCTTTTAAGAATTGAAACACATATTGTATATTAACATTGGGAAGATAACAACTGGATGATTTTATTTTAACATATTAAAGAAATTCCTCATTTTCACAAAATGAATATTTTCTATACAAAAAAGAATGGAATAAAACATAAACATTTGTTAAGGTCTATGAAGCATTCATATGAAGCATCTTATATAAAACATATTGAATGAAGAAAAGGAAGCAAGGAGTAAAGGAAATAAGCAATTATGGACTGCTAACATGAGCTGGATCCTATGCCAGATAACTTTGTATACAATTTAGCATCTACTGAATGAAAAATAACCAAACCAGGGCCAAAATCTGTGTGGAATATGTATGTATGGCCAACTCAATTTTCCACAGGCAGGTATTTCCATTTAAACATCTTAAATCTTACTTGGACATAACTCCTTGCCTTGACCACCATTCTGTTTTGCTTTGGTTTTTTTTTTGACACGTACACAAAATATAACTATAATTAACTTTAGCCAAGCAAGGACAGGGAGGGATGGCATCCTCCTAACCAAAGTATTAAATTATCATCAGTGCCAGGAAAATATAAACTAGGAAACATATAGATGCAAGTTTTCTCTACTTTAGGATGAACTTAATATATCCTAAGAGATAATATCTATTTTCAGCAATAATATAGAAAGCAGGAATGTACTGCACAAGACAGGATGAAAAATATAAGCCACTTTCTACCATCTGATTTCGAAAGTATAATTTTAGTATTCAAGTTTGAGGCATAGCAACCTTACAGAATAAAAAAGGCATCCACATCCAAATGTTGGTTTTGGAATACAAAACAGTATTTCAAAGTCAAATAGAAATTAATTTGTTCATTATATACTCTTTTGGATAATTGCCATTATTGCTATTTCTCCTTGGGCAGATAATTGAAAATTGGCTATATAAATTGTTGTGTTTTTTCTGGGGAAATAGCCTAGACTCAAAATTTGTCACCCACATCTTAATCTAAGTTACAATTTTACCAGGATTAAAAATTATAGCTACTCCAGTGCATTATTCTATTACACATCATTAACATCTTCCTTTCTTTTCAGCTTCATGTGGCAGAAAAGAATTCCACCAGGGCCATATTTGAGGAATCACATTCATTTTGTGTGTCTCCACATGAGAGTTAGCTATGAAGTATTTTAGTGAAGAATAGGACAAATAAAATAGTAATAATATTTGGACATGAGATTTTTTTTCTCCCCAGTTCTGCTTCAGCCTCCTTTGCAGCAACAAAGGGATTTGCACTGTGAATCTCTAACGTCAACATCTGGCCACATTTGATTCCGGTTTGTGTGTGGTCCGTCTGCAACCAAGGACTTGAATAAAGACTGACAGAACAAAACAGAAAGTGCTGCTGAGTTGCCTATTTATTAACTTACCAAAGTAAGTTTTGTGATTCATTAGGAAATCAGGTGAAGGTAATACCTGACCTAATTAGTTAACAAATTTAGAAGACAGAACAGGGTTTTTCACTTTGTAAGTTTCACTGATCATGAATGTAATTTTCCTTTTCTCTTCTCACAGCCTGAGTTCCTGGGAAACAGACTTTGAGACTCTGAGATATCCATGCAGCAAGTTTATTGGGGCATGTTCTTGGGAGTGACACCCAGGCCATGATGAGAGGAGAAGGAAGAAAGGGAGGGATAGGTTGAGCTGTGATGCAGTCACAAGGAGGCCTTAATGGACCCCAAGGCAGTGCTGGAGCAGGGATACACCTGTAGAGGTCAGTGTGTGCCACAGCCAGCTTGTATTGCTGTAACTTCTGCGGCTAGGTCTTCCCTATTCTACACAGGGTATTATTCTAATCCCAGGATTTCTAGCCCTGCTATGTTGTCAGGGATCTTTATTGTTGCCTTTCTGAAAGAGGCAACTGAGCTCTCTTGGAAACAGAATCAGCCCTATGCGATAAGACTCGGTGATATGACTGCCAAAGCCTAAGTGACAGAATTATCAAAAGTAAGTACTGACGATGATCAGACAACATCCTGGAAAAAAATACTTAAAAAAAATAAGCCAACTGAAATGATTTTGTTTCAAAGTACTTCCATTTCCTTGTATGTAAACATGGTCATTCATACCAATAAAGTGGAATGGTAATAATTGCAGCATGTCTTTGTTTAATGAAGTCATTAAATATTTATGGAGGCAGTTCAGGATGTATACCATAAGGAGGGAGAAAATTTTTAAGTGTATTAGCCAAGCCACACAAAGAATTTCTGTTAAAATAATTCCAGTTTTTTAAAAAAGTTAATTCCTAGGAAAGATGAATTTAAGCCAACTTCCGTGTGCAAATACCAACATCTTTAGGAAACTCAGAGAGGTGGTGTTGAGAGACTTCACCGTTGGCTGGGGCAGCAGAAACTTTCAGGGGGACCATTCTGCACAAAGCTGCACATCTACCAAGGTTCTTTCTTCTTCTGAGTCCTTTACGCCTTAGAGAAAGGCACTAGAGAGACCCAAGATTTGATGAGCGGTGACAGATTGTACATAAACTCTTCTCAGCTTTGCTCTTTAACATGCTACGCTAAATCTTGGCATGGCAGCAATTGTCAAACTCCACTTGGGCATCCAACTTAGCGAAAAGCAGTAGACTTCACATGGAGAAGTTCTCCCAATTTTAGCACATGAGGCTAGAATTATGAAACTCAGCAAGAAAAGTG